CTCAGTGAGCTTACATGTTAGAAGGAGTGGGGTATAGTGACAGTAACAGAGGGATTGAGGGCCCTGCTCAGTGAGTTTACATGTTAGAGGGAGTGGGGTATAGTGACACAGTAACAGAGGGATTGAGGGACCTGCTCAGTGAGTTTACATGTTAGAGGGAGTGGGGTATAGTGACACAGTAACAGAGGGATTGAGGGCCCTGCTCAGTGAGTTTACATGTTAGAGGGAGTGGGGTATAGTGACACAGTAACAGAGGGATTGATGCCCTGCTCAGTGAGTTTACATGTTAGAGGGAGTGGGGTATAGTGACACAGTAACAGAGGGATTGAGGGCCCTGCTCAGTGAGTTTACATACTAGAGGGAGTGGGGTATAGTGAAACAAAGGGTATAAGTAGGGGTAATGAAATAGGTTGCTAGAAAAATAATCACTGATAACTTAGCAGGTTATTTTTGACAGTTGCAGGAGAGGAGTCATGGGGGAGGGGATGAAAACCTGCTAACAGTTTAATTGATACGCTTTCCTGAAGAAGTGTGTTTTCAAAGATTTTTTGAAGGAGTGGAGACTGGTGTAAAGTCTAACAGGGAAGGGAGCTCCGGAGAAGTCTAGGAGACGAGCATCAGATGTGGGAGTACGGGCAGAGGACAGACGTAGGTCTTTGGCACAGCACAGGGGCCTTGGCGGGACATACTTGTGTATTAGGGAGGATAGGTAGGACTTGTAAGCAAGCACCAGAATCTTAAATTGAGCTCTATACCTAACTGGAAGCCAATGTAGGGACTGACAGAGGGGGGAGGCGTGGGAGGTGCGGGCGGACAGGAAAATGAGCCTTGCCGCCGCGTTCATAATATATTGCAGGGGTGCAATATGGGAACACGTAAGACCACTGAGAAGGGGATTGCAGTAGTCAAGACGAAAAAGAACAACGGCATGGACCAGTATCTTAGCCATAAATAAGGGTGGATGTGAGCTATATTTTTGAGATGGAAGCGGCAGGATTTGGCGATCAACTGGATATGAGGAGTGAAGGAAAGTTCGGAGTCAAAGAGAACACCTAGGCAACGAGCCTGGGAGGTAGAGGACAGGTTGAGTTTAAGGAAATGACCAGCCATTCAGTTGAAAATCGCAGAGAGGCAGTCAGAGACACGAGTCAAGTTGGGTGTAATAAGAAGTAATGTGAGATTGTTAGCAGATAGGCTGAGGCAATAATATTTAATCTGATCTCACAGTCTCCATCCCTATGAGATTCAGAACAATGGAATTTCAAAGAATGTTAAAGAAGAGCTGAGAGAACTCTCCCAAGCTGTCATTGAGCATTCTCTGCAGTGAACGCAGACAGAGTCTGCTGTCTAATTCCTGTATCAATTTCCAGCCTGGAACTATGTTATTAGCTGATTCTAACACTTCATGTGAATTGTAAGGTAGCATTACTTTACTGGAATTCTTCAGAACTCACAGTGAGAAACCTGCTATATTACCATATTCCCAGGGTTTCTATCCTGCATTCATTGTCTGCAAAATAGATCTCGAGTAATCAACCCACACTCCATGTTATATTTTATTTACTGCTTCTATCCAGGGATGGACTGACAGTAAATATGTAGCGTTTTTAATGTTTGTGTAGCATGGCAGTATGTATAAAGGGGTATTTGTGAATTTTGGCATTGAGTTTGTATAAGGTATGCAGGAATCCAAAGATGGTTTTAAATTACAAACCAGGTGTTAACCATTCCAAGCCACCTTAAGGAAGGCTATAGTGTCAGGAATATAACGTATTCCTGACACTATAGGCATGGGCGTCCACAGGGGGGGGCAAGGGGGAAGCTGCATCTTATCCCTGCTTCTCTCTGACAGTATCCGCAGGGGAGCAGCACATGCAGCCAGCAGAGACAGACTACAGATCAGGGAAGTGAGGCATGGGGAGGAGGCAGAGATAGCCTACAGATCAGGGAAGTGAGGCATATGGGGGGGCAGAGAGAGCCTACAGATCAGGGAAGTGAGGCAT